TCTCCTTCAGCTAACACTTTAATCTCTCAACTCTTCATCCACTCATCATTTCCCTAGGCTTGAAAATTAATCCTCTGAGGTCAGTGAGGAAACTTCCATTGACTCCAGGAGATTTAGAATTAGATTGTACACTTAATTTTCCTCCCTCCTCTACCTCCCAACTTCCTCTTTTCTTTCTTCTGGAACTTATTTACTCATCACTTTAGCCATTCCATATCTGGTCCCATGAAATTGGGAATTAAGTGGAGCATTAAGAAAGAGAAGTAAATAGATGTCCCTCCATCCATTATTATTGTTTGCACTTCCTATTTTTCATCATCTCCCTTAAGACTTTTAAGCCCTTTTAGATAATTGTTATACTTTATGCATTCACACAGAAACAAACCTGACAGCTGAGTGAAGTGCATGATGCTCCTCGATAGCAACAATTCCAACCACCCAACCATTCCTATTCTGAGCAATGCTGCTTTAGGGAAACCCCTGCTCTAGAAAAATCATTATTTAATGGTTAATATGGCTATTTATTCATTTTTAAAGACACACAGTACATATAAAATTCAGTAACCTTTAATCAGTTTGGAGAACCGGTACCTTAGTTTTAAGATTTAAAATATTTCTACAAATTTTATCTAATCACAGAAACCTAATCTTAGCTTGTTTCCTTTGAAATATTTGTCAGTACTCCAACCAGACGAATTTCACATACAAATGTCTTGGTTTTGAATGGGGAAAAGAAATGAACATCAGAAAACATTGTATTTATTAGTTAATTTAAGTAAGTACTCTCAAAGAAACCCCAAACTTTATCTAGCTAAAACCATAAATCAGAATGCTAACAAGTTCCCAGCTCTGTATGTAGAACAAGCAGCTGTACTATCAGTCTAGTAACAGAGCAGCCACAACATACAAAAAATTATCTTAAATACAAACACCATTCCTTATTCTCCACCTGAGAGCACTGCAGTCATGTGTCTATGGACTTCATATAAGCAGTAAACATATCTATTGTCCCTCATCACTCATTATATGGGATCAGAGATAAATAACAAAATCAGGTAAGAAAACCTACTCATCGCCCTAGTTTCTTACTCTCCAAACAACTCTCAAGAAGCAGTAAACACATCACTTTCTTACAAAAATATTTGTTGTGGTTTAACCGCAAATATTTGCAGAAATATTGATCAGCTGAGTCAATGGACACACTTCACAGAAACGAGAAATTTAACCTGTCAAGGCTAGACATCACCCAAGAATCATCCAGACAGGCAGAGCTGATCGTGCTGTCACAGTATGACATTTCTACCATTAGCTAAAAAAAAGAAAGCACTTGAAATATCAAAATAAACTTCAAAATAAACTCCTGGTTTTCTTACTCCAGACCCAAGACCGTTTACAGGTCTGTGAAAAGGCCCTAAAATGACCTGGACAACACTGAATCCATACTGGAGCGTTGTCTGACAGGACAGTTCCTTCTTCCTAATGTTAGGACCTATAACCAAATGTTCTTGCTACACACACTTCCTTTCGTGGAGCACTTCTAACATATCCAAAGACAGATGTTAAGATACCTTTGGTTATAAGTCAGTATTTTAACAATTACATTAAGATACATCAACATAAAATAAAGAACATGACACACACACAGAGAGGCAAAATGAAGGGGAAAAGTGATCCCATTACACTCCCACTGTCATTTTGCTGTCCAGTCATCTCCATCTTTGTTCCCAATATAAAACAGAAAACTATGCTTGCTGTTTCAAATGAACTTGCCATTTAAAGCAAGCAAGAAGTTTGAAGGAGAAAGGATCAAAAAAGTTACGTATATATGTCCAGCATGCAATAATTTAGACTGATAAGGAGGAGCAACACTGCTGAAAAATCAATTGCAGAGTGAGCTGGATGACCAGAGGGAACACTGAAACTATAATTAGCTTAATCTATGTGCTTGCAAGAGCCTACAAATCTGAGACAGAACAGAGCTCCACATTTCTCAAAGTAGGAAACAGTAGAATAAAAAAAGCTTCCCTTTGAGCTGAGTTATTAAAATGCAGTAACAACTTAAAGTCTTCTGTGTTTGGCAAATGAACAAATTGCAGAAAACAGTAAATGAAATTTTTCTATTGCAGCCATAAAAATTACTATATTTAGTTCTGCAGCTTGGCATGAATAAAGTCAATTTACACAATTCTGGAAGAGCAACTCTTTCTACTTTGTCCAAAGGTTTAAACAGGGCCCTAGTGATATTATTTTTGAAATCCATATAGGGTTCATGATTTTGCTTTAAGCCTAACCAATTAAAGTTAAGATTTATTTCCCAGAACAGCAGTAAAATATTTTAGCAACACACAAAGAAAGCTTAATTAAATTCATATGTTGGGGGTATTTTACCACGCAATGCTTTATATATGTATCAATATTTCCTAAAATTGACAATTGCTGATCAAATTAATTTGCATAAAATATTACCTACTGCAAAACACAACACTGCAGAATCCAGCCACTTGGCAGGTGAAGAAAGTGCGTTTAGGACCTAACTGTAGTTTTTGTACTAAGGTTTAAAGGTATTTTACTGCATCAATTAGTTTATTTCAATCCCTCTTAATTGCCCATAAAGCCAAGCTTAGATCTCCTCTCAAAAACAGGCCAACTGCTCCCTCTACTGGTAACAAGGGGCCATCACATGGGGGTACGGAGATTCCCAGATAAAATTGGTAACAAGTCATTAAACACACTAGAGGGGTTTCCCACTTAATTACTTGCCAGTCAGCTAAGACCTGAAAGATTGAAAGGCTGTAATTTTCGCTGTCTTACCAAAAAGATTAACATACACACGTTTACAGAATCTAAAAACTTAAAAAATAGAGACTGTAGAAAATGAGGCGAGGCACGTGTGAGACATAGAATCCAGAATGGTTTGGGTTGGAAGGGACCCTAAAGTTCATCTCGTTCCAACCACCTCCCACTAGAGCAGGTTGCTCAGAGCCTCATCCAACCTGGCCTTGGACTCTTCCAGGGATGGGGCAGCCACAGCTTTCTCTGGGCAACCTGTGCCAGTGACTCACCACCCTCACAGAGAAGAATTTCTTCCTGATACCTAATCCAAACCTGCTCTCAGTTTGAAGCCATTCTCCCTTGTCCTGTCACTCCAGGCCCTTGTAAATAGTTCCTCTCCATGTTTTTTGTTGGCCCCCTTCAGGTAATGGAAGGCAGCAATTAGGTGACCCCAAAGCCTTCTCTTTTCCAGGCTGAACAATCCCAATCCTCTCAGCCTTTCCTCATAGGAGAGGTGCTCCATCCCTGTATCATCTTCATGGCCCTCCTGTGGACTCACTCCAACAGGTCTGTCCTGAACATTTTCAGACTCAGTAAAATGATCCTATCAATTTCAATAACATAAAATTAAGAATATTTTCTGTACTCCCACTGCAGAGAAGGGTGAGAATTTTTTGGTTTTTAATGGAGAATCTTCCATACATGGATATTCCTCATAAAACTTATGTGAAAGTTGGACAGTCTTAAAAAAGAGAATACACACATTAAATACAAATCCAGTGAATTTAAAGAAGCAAAACCTGACACACAAAATCCCTGCTCTAACAAGTAGAATGCTACACACCTGTGTACAAAGTGAATGTCAATCAGGTCAAGGCGAAGCTAATTTTCAACATTTGCTGAAAAATGCAAAAACTTACCCTTATTTCTCAAATACCACCAGAAAGCAGAAGTTGTATCTCACTGGCAGTCTCAAAAGCTGTGCCTGTGGTGCTGCTTACCCACAAACACCTGCTCAGTGAGCACCTGCCCCTTGCTCAGGCAGGCGGGGATGTTGAAACACTGGGTGATTGAAAAGTAACATGTCTGTGCTCAATAATGAAGTTGTAATGATGCAGGTCAGCAACAAAGTATCTTAGAAAGCTTTTTACCCAGTGGAGACATTTCAACTCACACCACTTGTTTTCTTAGGCATTTATATTCATTTTGATGACATCAAGGGTTCTCAGCTGAGAAAAGCAAATCCCCTCAGCCTCCAGCTCCTGTTGTTCCCCCACCAGTGGTCTACAGACTCAGAGTATCAGCTAAAATGTGCTCTAAATCAAAGATATTTCTCCTAACTCCTCTATCAGCTCAGCAGCACTGAATAACATAGACATGATACTGTCAATTATAAGGTTTGCCATCCTGTTAAACAGTAAAATCCCACTAAATGACAGCAGTTTTCCTTGGAAAAGAACACGCAGCACACAAAAAATTAAGCTCTTGGTCTGCGTGTTGAACAGGTTGGTTACCCACAAAACCAAGCTTCAACAGCTTCCACACCCTCATCACTCAGAAAGGATTTTGTAGCTGCCCTCCAAAAAACCCCCAGCTTATCCACAAAGGAAAAAACCTCTTCTGTTCAGAAAATTCCTTGAAAAAACATTTCCAAGAGAATAATATATTGTGCTAATCCCAATTAGTGTTATTTATTGATAAACTGATATAGTTACAGGAGAGGAATTATGAAGTGCTATGTTTATAACAGAATGTTTTGAAAAGCATTAGGCTTCAGATACCTAATCAAGAGTCTGGGACTGTTTGCAAAATAAACTTCAGTGGCATTTTACTGGATGTGAAACAACTAATCCCTGAAAATGGGAGAGGAGGCAAAAAAAAGAGGCAAATAAAGTGTCAAGCGTGGTAAATAGTTTCAGAACATTGCTACACCTTAAAATCAGGAACTCAGATTACCTGGGAAGCACACAAACAACAACACTACAGTAAGAAAAGAATTTTATTTCAGGTAGCAAGTACTGTTTCACTGAAAATTCATGCGGTTTCTAATTTTAACTACACAACTAATCACTTTTAGCTACATGATTTTAATCTTCAGCTGACCTCAGACACGCTCTGCCATGACACAGAAATGATTCAAACTTTGCTCCCAGAGAGAAAAGGTGATACAGAGTAGGTTACTATGACCAGAAGCCTGAAGGATGCATCTCTTCATCATTAACTTTTAAAATCAACATATATATTCTAAGGAATATTACAGATTTTTTTTTAAAGCTATGACATTCTACTTACCTTAATGACAAATTTGTTGGATGCCATGATAGGTCAGAGTAAGCTGGTCCTATAAAAATATCAATTAACAGTGATCAGCACTCAGATCTCTACACCAATCAAGAAGGATTTTTACATCTATTACTCATTTTTTTTCAGCACTGCTGTTCTTCAAACCTTACTCTTTGCTTTAAGAAATCCAAGGAAAATTCTTATTTAAAGGAGAATTACTTAGCTACCTGTGTTGATTTCTTTTAGTGAACTTCATAACTGTTCAGGCACTTCACATCTACCATATGAAATACAAAGTTAGAACCCTTTTAAGTAACAAACTACAGCTTTTGGTGCCCAGAAGATGCATACACATATATATATATATATAATTATATAAACACATACACATGTATACTTAAAATTTTAGACTACAACACACTTAAAGCAACATAACCTGAGCCTTATTGTGGTTGCACAAAAGTAAAGTGAACTTCAGAGATCCTCTTCTTTTGTTTATTCCAAATAGGATCTAGGTTGCTTAATTTGGGAGCCTGAGTGAAGTGCATTCAGCTGCACAGCCCCTGACCCTGCCTCAGACCATTCCAAGGAACTCAGGAAGCATTAATTCCTGCTGGAAATTAAACACACCCTCCCTTGGGCTCAAGAAGAAACCTTCAATTAATTGCCAAGGTTTTTTTCCAAACTGACAACAATTAATGTCAAAGCACTGAAGCTACTTGGGAAGCTCATCCTCCTCCACACAAACAGGAGCTAAACATTCACTTGTCAAAAGCAGAAAATTAGGTTAAACTCATGAAAGTCTTTCCAGCCAACCACACAGAGTTGGGATTCAGAAGACAGGTCGTGGGCCCTAAGGTACCAACTTAATACGTACAAAAAAAACTAGGAATAAAAAAAATAAAATACATTCCATTTTCACACAGGACAGGAAGAGAGGGAACAGACAAAGAAGAGACTTGGACTGGGCAGAAACCAGGTGAAATGAGGTCTCAGTGTGGTGGCAGGAGACAGAGCACCCAAACAACACAGTTCAAGCTTCAAAATCAAAACAGAAAACAAGTGTCAGTAGCTTCTGCCTGCAACAGATGAACTGCAACAGAAACCACACGGAGAATAGAGCTGCCCTTTATATCCTAAATTTTTCTAAAGCATTAGCCTCTTAAGATGGACAAATCTGGTCAATTTTGTACGAGAGGTGTAGGAAAATACTAAAAACTGAGCAAGACCTACACATTTGTCACTGCATACTTCAAGTTATTGGCAAGTACTGAGACAGAGGTGTCAAAATTTCAGGACACAAGGCAGGTTGGGGATATGTGTCTCTATCAGGTACTACAACTTAAATGTTTCAAAATGCAGTCATTACGCCTATTTAGCTTCAAATAAGTGCAAACCAAGACAAACACCCACTTTACAGCTACACAGCACAGCACAGGTAATCTTGATCTTAAGATTCAATAGTAACCATGTTGAACTCAATAAACACAGGGCTTCCATTCCAAATATTCAAATGCTGAGACCGAAGATTTCAAAATAACTATGAGAAAATGTGAAAGTAATGAGGGCACAATTCCATGTACTGGCTGAAGGAAAACTCTCAATTACTTACATGATTTTTTTTTCTAAATATCATATTAATATCCAAGCAGTAAGATATAAAACCAGTAAAAGGATGGCAAACAGTGAGAAGTAAAGTGGCCGTTACAGTAACCAGGTTAAAATGAGTTTGAACTGAGAACCACTCTCCAAGTAACTACTGAAAATAACCTTTAATATAGTTAATAAAATGTTTCAGCTCTGTCCTGAAAAAAAAGGTCAAAATTAGAGCTTTTATCAGTTGTACAGTAATAGTAAACAGAAAGATACATAAAATAAATTTAATTTTAAAATAACAGAAAAAAAACCATTGGAATACCATCAAGGCTTGTGCCACACCACTGTCATTCTCTCTTGCACAAAACAGCCCTGGAAGCTTTTCAATCTTATCAGAGTAAATCCTGATAACTTTACTGATTTTGAGAAGCACAATGCAAGGGACAGTGCTCTGCACCACCTGAGACATCGTATTTGAGTTCAGCCAGGCAGTAAGTGCCACTCTATAGAAGTAAACATAGAAGAGAAACTATAAGAAGAATCCCAGCAGGACATGAAACTCAGAAATCACTGAAACAGCAGCTGCCAGAACTAGTTCAGAAGAGATGCTGAAGGGAAATGGCAGCCACCAAGTGAAAACCATCTGAGCTTCTCAGCTCCTTATAACATTGCTCCTGAAGAACAATATTTGGACTGGTAATGTCTTCTCATTAATCTTTACAGGAGGAATAATACAAAGAAGAGTTGCAACAAAACGTGCCAGAGCATCACCTCTTGTCCAAATGCTCATGTTCTCCTTGAGAGCAAACAAAGCACATGAGTGAATCAGCTGAACTGACCCTGCCAGCACCTTTTTGTAACCATTTGCCTTCCAGAACAATACTGTTGCAACAATCCTGCTACTACTGTTGTGAGAAGAACTGCCGGCAGGTTGAAATCCCCTCCAAATCTAATTTACAAAATAATAGAAGAAAAACATTAAAAGGAAAAAGATGGCAAAAAAAAAAGGTAACTTTGGTTCAATTTGCTCTTCCTGGAGTTTGCCAACTACCCCATTCTTTGCACTGACCACATAGATAAAGGAAAGGAAATACAGCAGATAGAATAAATGTAAGCAAATCTTCAGAAAACAAGAAAGAACACACCTCACGTGTGAGCCATCAGGAAGGTCGCTGGAGTGACACAGGTGAAAAAGGACCCAATACTGAGACATCACAACATGGGCCAAAGCATCCAGCAATTGTACAAGAAAAAGCCAACTAGCCCCAAAACACTTTGCCATTTTCTGTGTTGAAGAAAAACCCCACCAAAATCACAGATATTATTACACTTCCTACTGTTTGGCAACAAGACTGTTTCTCATGGAATAACATTTCTGTTGCAAACCTCTAAAGGAAACTCTAAATAAAGAAATGTAAAGATAAGAAAATAAGGCAGAAAAACTCCTCTCAGAAACTATATCTATTAAAAAAATATTTTTAAGTCTTGATGTGGTATTTGTAAAAAAAACCCTTTGAACATGAAAGTTTTCATAGACAGTGTGTATAAGAAAACATGATTTAGAATTAAACACATAGGTTGCCTGTGGCTAGAGTGAGACACACTGAAAAAATAATGTGGCACAATATCTTTCTTTTCTAAATTTGATGCCAAGTGGAATGGTAGACACTCAGGAGAAGGCAGTGCCTCATGGCCTCCCAAAGAGTGAGTGGAAGTGTTCTCTGCCAGCTGAGGAACAGCATCTTACCTTAGAAAAGAAGTAGCTTCCCGTGGTGAGGGAATTTGGAACTCAAAGGGAGTGAGGAACTGAAAACTCCAGTACCAGATGCTTGAAGATACAGCAGCAAACTATTCACACACTGCCCATCTCTGGGTGCCTTTGCCTCGAGTGGGGAGAGGTGGACACCTGAAAAAACAGCACAAACAAACACATAAATGCTGAATAAGGAAGTCTGTGAAGCAATTTGATATTAACTATTTCCGTAGTTCGTTTTTGTAGTTCAAGATGAACTATCACAACATAACAGAGGAGTTTCCTGAACTTTTCCTTAGTCCATAGGTATTGTAGTCAAACACTGTCCAGCACTCATCAGTTTTAAGAGCAGATCCTAAGCTTGGGATGAGCAGTGCAATACTCAACTACTCACATATCTAGTAAAGCATTTGTAGTCCTGAAAAGACATATCACAATCTTCACAATTTTGCTATTTCAGGCTTTTTATGCTCGCTGTGGCCAATTGCTCCACTTAACCCTTGAAAACTACTCTTCCAACAAGTCAGCATCTTTTTACCTCATTGTTATCCCCAATCCTTCATTCGGGAACTGCCCATTCACCTCTAAAATTCAACAATTCCAAAGACATTACCCACTCACCACACCACTGCACAGAATTAGAGGAAGGAGAGGTTCTGAGGAACATCAGAGGGCTGTCACAGACAGGTGCTGGCTGTTACCTTTTTGCACTGATAAATACCTCTTTTTTTTAACTTTCGTGAACAGTTGAATGCAATGAACAATGAAAAAAATTATCATACAATGAAAAAAAAATCACAATTCTCCCTTTCGTGTGGAGATTAGGCATAAATACTTGTCTTTTGGCTACAGTTATAAACTCTGCAACTATAAGCAAAATTGAAAACAAACTCATCCATTAACACGTGAATATAAAACGAGATTCTTGACAGCAGTGAGCATGGCGAGGAGAAGAGCGAATACAGGAAAAGTATTCCTGCAGCCATAGGAGCGACTACAAGAAAAGCAAGAAGAGTGAAGTAGAAGGAAGAGCTAAGGAAACACTGAGGTCAGGGAACGAAGTTCTTTTCATCTTGTTTTGGCCAGAGCACCTTCGCCCGCCCACAGGAAAGCTCAGACAGGTGGGCGCTCGTGTAACGCGGAGTGACTGCAACAGGAGGTAAGCAAGGAAGAAGTTCTGAGAGATATGTGCATATTTTTAAGAGCGGTCGGGCAGGGATGAGGCGCGGGGGGCGGCGCCGGAGCGACCCCACCGAGGCGGCGCCTGAGGGAGGCACGGCGGCAGCCAACCGGTACAACACCAGCTCTCCCCAAGCGTCCCCTCACACGTTTAACTAACGAGGAAAGAGAGCCTGGAGCCCGAGGAGCGGCCGCTCCCGCAGGAGCCGGGCGGCCCAAGGCGGCCGCACCTCTCCCCGCACCGCGCCCGCCTCCCGCCACTCTCCTGCCCTACCCAAAATGGCCGCGCCCGTCGCCGCTGCCCGCCCTGCTCTGCCCGCACGCAAAATGGCCGCCAGGGCCTGAGGCGGGACCGGGCCGCGAGTGACGCAGCGCTCGGCTAATGGAGGGCAGAGGGGCGGGCTCGGCGATAGCGGAACGTCCGGGTCGTGCTTCTTCTGCTGCTTCTTCTTCCTGCGAGGGCGCGTTTGAACGTGTCGGGGGCGGGTGAGTCTTTATCTCACCGGGAAGGCTCCTGAGCAGCGCCTTCCTCGCTCCCTCGCAAAGGGGAGAGAAGCCTCAGGTGCGCCGTGCCCGCGGTCTCTGTCCCGAGGGAGCCGCTGCCCCTCAGCCGCCCGCGCTTCAAGGTCGCTGGGACGCGAGGAAGAAGGAGGAGGGGATTGTGAGGGCTGCACATCGTCATGCTGGGGTGGTTAGTAGGGCTTTTACACCTGTCCGGTGGATGGAGTTGGGGAGCAGTAGGAGCATCTACTCCCCGAGTCGTAGCTCTGTAGCCGTCCAACCCAGTGAGATATTTGGCATAAGAAAACGTGCGTTTTCTTCTTGAAGTAGGTACTTCTTAACAGAGAGTAGTGTTTTCCACCTTCTTATGATATAAGGATTAAGTTATTTTGTTTGTGCTGGTGCTGTTGTAGCTTCCGGATACCGTAAGGTGGTCAGGCAGAGCCGCCGCTCTGGGCAGGGTAAACTGGGCTCAGAAGCATCACAACTTGCTTCGCCTGCAAGTTAAAAGTTCTATATTTATTCTCTCATTAGCTCAGTTAGACATTCAATTGTATTAACTACTGGGGGAGGAAAAAAAAAAAAGGTGTATTTTAAAACTGCTTTAAGGCTTCAGATATTTACCATCTGAGCAGTAACGCTTGTAATTAGATAAAGCTTTGTTGCTTTGTTGTGTTTAAGATTTAGCATGCCAAAGCTCGAAGCAAGTGCAGCAATTAACACTTCAAAATGCCTGAATTGAGGTTATTTTTGTGCCTTTTTTTTCTAAGTTCACAAAGTAAGACTTTCTTGTGTTGTTTTGTGTTTTAGTCATCTGCTGCACTGTAATTAAAGGTATTAGCATTCAGCTTTATCTGTTCAGTGCTATTATTATAGGGTAAAAATTAAAGGATTTCTAGAATATATTTAAAATAATAAATTATCTTTACCTAGGTAGATGCCAGTTTGCAATGGGTCTTAAAACCATCTGGAAGGACTACAAAGTTCTGATTGTTATGGGAACTGGCCTTGGGCTGGTACACTGGGGCTGGTTTTACATCAAGTCCAGTCCTATTTTCCAAGTGAAGACAGAGGACTATGTTCCAGAACCTGGCATTGTGACATACGTGATGCAAAGCGATCAAAAAAATAAAGAAAAATAACATTAGTACTGTGTGTTGTAGGTAAGTTGCCTAATTAGTTGTATCTGTATCTTAGAGGGAGGAGATAAGTCAATTAAATGAGAATGTTCTAACAGATGCAGCCTTGCTGCTTTAACTTGAGTATTCTAGACTTTTATTCTTCTTTGCAACTGAGTTAATTTTGTAGCTACGTGGCTCCAAAAAGTGCATGATAAAACTCAGAAAACTACGGCTAAATCCCATATGATGGGATCAATTTAAGTGATGGTGTTATGTGTCTTTAAAAACAAATTCCAGTAACTTCAAGGCAACAGTGCTACTCTTGTGACTGAGTCTGTAACAGTGTCCTTTGAGGCTCAAAACTGCCCAGAAACAGTTAGGACTTTACTTAGGAAGTATTCTGTAGGGACAGTAATTATAGTGGAAAACTAAACAAAATTAAATATGAAGGAAGTTTAAGTACTGTGGAGATTGCATAGAAATGTAAATAAATATCCCTTTAAGTTTGAAACTGTTTAAGAACTGAAAAAATTTCCTGTTAAGCATTTTGAAGTAAGAAACTTTTCTTTGAGTCGGATTTCTTAAAGCTGTTGGAACATCAAAAGATTTTGTTTCTGAAGTGGTTGCCTGGCAAGCGGTGCTGAGTAGTTGAGTTCTTTTGTTTTTGAGTAAAACAGATGAGCATCACTGTTTTTACTATCACTGTAAACTGTCACACAAAAACTCTCACTGTAGTTTTGACACCTTAGTGAGATTCAGTGAAGTTTGTAGTGACCTGTTACTTATAGACCTACAGGTAAAACAACAGAGATTGGTGGTCAGAATTGAAGCTATTAACAATATAATATTCATATAACTGGTGTGCTGTTTGTTTCTTTTTTTACTGTGTGCTTGTAGTAATTAACAGATTAATAGATTTTTTCTCAATTAAAAAGCATTCAGGTGCCCAGGTGGGCAAGAAGGCCAATGGCACCTGGCTTGTATCAAGAACAGTGTAGCCAGAGGGACCAAGGAAGTGAATGTCCCTCTGTACTTGGCACTGGTGAGGCTACACATCAAATTATGGGTTCAGTTCTGGGGCCCCCACTTCAGAAAGGACATTGGGGTGCTGGAGCATGTCCAGAGAATGGCAAAGGAGCTGGTGAAGGCTCTGGAGCAGAAGTCTGATGAGGAGTGACTGAGGGAGCTGGGAATGGTTATCCTGGAGAAAAGGAGGCTCGAGGCAACCTCATCACTCTCCAAACCAAGGAGCTTTTAGTGAGGTGGGAGTCAGTCTCCTAAGTAACAAGTGACAGGACAAGAGGAAATGGCCTCAAGTTGTGCCAGGGGAGTTTTAGATTGGATATTAGGAAAGCTGTCTTCACAGAAAGGCTTGTCAAGCACAGGAACAGGCTGCCCAGGGAAGTGGCTGAGTCACCATCCCTGGAGGTATTTAATAGATGTGTAGATGTGGCACTTGGGCACGTGGTTCAGTGTTGGGCTTGGCAGTGCTGGAGGAACAGTTGGACTTGATCTTAAAGGTCTTTTCCAACCCAGACGATTCTGTGGTGCGGTGTTTGTCCTTGTGTGGCTTTTTTTTTTTTTTTTTAATGAAAAATAAAATAGCAGTTCAAGCTATGCAATATTGTCATAAGATTATCCTAATACCTTTCTGGTTTTAATTGTAGGTGTAACTAACGTTGAAGCTTTTCATCTGTGACTGTTGCCAGAAAAGATGAAGAAAACTACCTGGAACAGAAAGAACCTGCTGCTTGTAGTAGGACTGTCAGTTATAGGCGTCCATTTAGGAAGCATGCTTGTAAACTTTGTTGCAAAAAAATCTGCTCAGTCACATTCAGAAGTTAAAAGAGATCGTCATGAGTGAAAATAGCTTCCTGCTGTCATTATGCATCAGTGTTGCAACGTGATTTAAACCTCATTTTAAGAAAGACATGATGAGCAGTCACGGGAATGTTATTGTACTGTATGTACTGTTTCACACTGAAAATATTAATCCTTAGCTGCAAAGAGTTTAAATGTACTACTTTTAGGTTTTAAAAGTGCTATGAATTATAGATCCGAGTGCAAATGAATGGTTTTGTTGGCCAGAATTAAAATCTTACTTTGAAAATGTCTCGTCTTGAAGCTAAAAAGCCTCCGTTATTTATTAGTGAACCTTTAACTAAAGACGCGGTGTGTCAGTCGCTGCTTCTGCTTAGCAGGATATTTAAATCTTCCTATGGTCCTGCTGGGAGGCTCAAACAGCTCCACAACGGTGTGGGAGGCTGTGTTTGTACAACTTCCCAGTCCTCAGCTCTCCTGAGGCACCTTTCTGTCAGCAATCCTGTGCTCCGCGTTCTCACAGCCTCCGTGCAGAACCACGTCTCGCGCTGCAGCGACTGTGGCTTATTTACTGCCATCCTTTGCTGTAGCTTGATTGAAAACTTTAGAAGCCTGAATGTTGCACCTTGCACTGTCATTAAAATAACCAGGCACCTCCTGAGTTTGTGCATGGACTACCTGAAATCGGAGGCTTGTGGTTGCCGGGTGTCCGTGGATTTTAGCAGCGTTGAGACCCTGGTTTGTTTGGTACGTAGCGTTTTAACAAGCAAACCTGCTTGCATGCTTAATCAAACAGAAGTTGAGCATCTCGCCACGCTGGTTTTAAAGGCTTTTTTATTTACTGTTCCATGTCATGTTGAGACTAATGCTGTTTTAGGGAAGTGTGTAATAATACCTGTGAAAGGAAGAAGAGTTATGGATTCTACAGTTCTTCCTGGACTACTGATAGAAACACCAGAAATTCAGCTGGGAAAACCACTTGCTGTCAAAAGAACTGGTTCAAACATGATCAAGATTGCACTTTTCTGTGTGTCCATGTCGGGAGACAGCTTCAGCCCTGAGGAAGGAACTATAGCAGTCCGTCACGGAATTTCTCTAGAAATGTCGGAGCTGAATCAGTTGCTGAATGTAGGGAAGCAGCTGGTTAGTGATGGGGTCGGCCTTGTGGTGTGCCAGAAAGTGATCCATCCATCCTTGAAACAGTACCTGAAGGAGAACCACGTCATGGCTGTGGACAGAGCTGGGCTGTCTCTGATGGAGCCCCTGAGCCGGATGACAGGTAACAGGCGAGTTTCCCGTACTAAACAATTGTCCCCAAGTTTTCATCAGGAGATCAACATTATCTGGGGTGGTGTCATTGCAGAGTAAGGGTTCTTATTTCTGTCTGGATCCTCTTAGCAGCTGAGCAGGAGTTGTTTTTTTTCCAGTCTGAAAGCCATTTCTTAAGGTGAGATTGGTCTTTCACAGGTTCTAGCAATGACATACCAGACGTGTGATTACTGCTTGCTGCAGGAGGGATATCCACTTATAGAAACAGTTACTTTTTTTTTTTTATTTCAAACTATCACCAAGTCTTGCAGTTTGACCATGGTGGTTTCTGTTCGTGATTTCCTGCGTAGGTTAAAATGTCAGGTATTGAACTATATATATATATAACTTATAAAGCCAAGGAGAAAAAAGTTCATGTTTTATGAAATGCAACAGAAAACTCTTCTGATGATGGTACTACATGTTGTTCTCTGCTTTTCATAACTGGCAGGTTCAAAGCCTATAG